ACAAACAAAGAACAGAAAGCAGAGAAGACAAAGATTATCAATAAACGTCTGTACTGTTTTTCTTCTTCTTGTCTCTGCTTCCACTCCTGCTGCCCCTGCTGCCCTTGCTGCCCTTGCTGCTGTTGCTGCTGCGGCTGCTGGCTCTCGAGTGTCGCCCTTCTTTCTCTGCTGCTGATGATGGTGTCGTTGTCATGGCGATAGCAGCAACAACAGCAACAACACAGAAATACAGTTATGCTTATATGAAAAACTATGTTTAAAATTCAAAAAGATATAAATATGCTTGAATAAAGAAATATTTCAAAAATTGAAAGAAAAATAAACAAATAAAGGTCAGGGTGTCCTAAGAAAAGACCAATTTAAAGGGCAACAACTCTGGCAGCTTTGGAACAGTTTCAATAAGACTTGAAAAATATACAATCAAAGCTGTAGGCGGTCAGTTTTGTCAATATGAGGAAAATCAGTCACCACCTTTCCTGGATTTATTCAGAAATTCCAATTTTTTACATTAAAAAATATGTACATTTAATTTATTCTTCAATTCACAAATACACCTAAAGGTTTGATTTCAAGAAGTTGAAAAGTTTTGCTTTTCACTCAAATTTTAATGATAAAAAAAAACGTGGATAAATCTCGATGGTTCTTCATAATATCAACAGTAGCGTCCCCTTAGTTAAATTGTACTATTCGTTCCAACCATAGAGTTATCTCCCATTGTGTACATCTAAGGTTCCAACTTTCTTCTAAATCGCTCCAAAGATAACTGAGTTATTGCCCTTTACATAGGTCCATTATTTCTACTTTTTTTTTTTTTTTTTTTTTAAAGAAACCAGGTACTAAGCTTAGTACTAAAAAAAACTATGCAGAAATAAAGTGTTATTACGACAGAAGTAAATAGTACCTGAGCTACAAGGCGAAGAAGCACATCTACGAACGATAAATATAACGCCTTTTTCTTTGGTATATATAAAGCTTCTAATAGATAATCTAATAAAACAAAATGGAAGAAAAATTATTTTTTAACAAGAGCAAAACAGAAAAACGTGGACAACCATAGCTTCCAAACACCAGTGGAGGTGTATTGAACTATCTTATTATGCACGATCTTTGACACTTTTTTAATTGGC